AGAGCTGGGGCGGGAGGGGGAGTGGGAGGGGGGGAGAGCACAGGACTGGGGCGGCAGGGGGGGGCGGCGAGGAGCCCAGGGCTGGGACAGGGGGACAGCCAAAATTTTTTTTGCTTGGGGCGGCAAAAAACCTAGAGCTGGCCCTGGGGGTGGTGTCATTTTGTCAGCAGGAGAGCTCTCTGTAGACATAGCCTGAGACTCTGCCCCTATCTTTCTCTTCCCAGGAAGTAGTCTCACTACAATAGTATGCATGCCTCAGTAGTTGGAGTCAGTCATTTTCCTTATTGTCTTGCTGCTCACTATTTGATTTTATTTATTTTAGTTTTCCACGTTTTTGTTTTTTCTGTAACTGCTTTGGTCAGCTGGAAAACTTTGGGGAAAACATCATAGAACTTTGATTTCCTATCTCCATCATCTGGACAGGATATACATTACCTACTGTTTGCACTGCCCCACTACAGAGCAGAAAAAAACCTAATCCACTGGGAAGTACACGCTTCTTCCTTTAGCAGATCAATTGTCACTATTTCTGGATGCTCGCTCTTTAAATCTCCCTCTGCTGGATTTTCCTTTGTTACTTTTTCTGGTTTCATCATCTCATTTTCTCCTGACCTTTCTTTAGCCCTGAAGTACTGTGCTGCCCTGTAATAATTAGAGATGTGCTCTGCAACGTGTGGTTCCATACACAGCCAAAGTTCCCAAGGGCTGTGCTATTTGGACCCATCTTCAGAAGTGAATGAGGGGGCGAGTTTGTTACTCTCTCACTGTTCAATCTCTCTTCTTTTAAGGTTGCTCCAGACAGATCGGACTCAGTTTTGTGAAACCCAAACTTTGTGCATTCTCTGGCCTCTATTACTGTGACAGCTGCCATCAGGACGACGAGTCTGTGATTCCATCGCGCCTTATCCACAACTGGGACTTGACTAAAAGAGTAGTAAGTCTATGGATGGTCCAGGCAGGGGATACCTAATTCTTTAAAGATCCCCCCTACTCAGCAGAAAGGCTGATATAATCCTGGGATGGTGGTGGTAAAAATGGGGCAGTAGTGAGTAGAAGCAAAAGGTGATTTTACCCTGGTATATGGCATTGGTGAGACCAGTACTCGAATATTGTGTGCAGTTCTGGCATCCACGCTTGAAAAAGGATGTTGAAAAATTGAAGAGGGTGCAGAAAAGAACCGCAAAAATAATTTGAGGGCTGGACAAAATGCCTGACATTACAACACTGGGGGAGGCGCCGTCTGTTTAATTTTCAAAAAGATCAGGAGGTGAATTTATTACACTGAATCATAGTATATCATAGAATATCAGGGTTGGAAGGGACCTCCGGAGGTCAACCCCATTAAGTCCAACCCCATTAAGTATCTTCACAGGGAGAAAATACCAAGCACTGAAAGGCTCTTCAGTGTAGTAGGGAAAGGCAGAACAAGAACCAATGGCAGGAAATTCAAGCCAGACCAATTCAAATTAGAAATAAGACACATTTTTTAACAGGGAAGGTGATTAACCTTTGGAACAAGCTGCTACAGGAGTGGTGGATTCTCCATCTTTTGGAGTCCTCAGCTCAAGACTGGATGACTTTCTGGAAGATGTACTTGAGTCATGATGAAATTCTCTGGCCTGTGTTATGTGGAAGGTGCAACGATCTTATGGTCCCTTCTGGCCTTAAAATCTATGAATCAGCACTTTTGATGCCCATTCAGTGACTGTTTCTTCCTCCTCTGTGTTTTCCTTTTAAACTTCCTTTGCAGATAGGCAGTGCTCCAACACCCATTGGAGTAACTGGGAACTCTTTCATCGATTTCATTGTGCTTTGAATTGAGCCCCTATCAATGCTTGTTTTTTCTATATTTTAGGTTTGTCGACAAGCTTTAAAATTTCTGAATCAAATCCGCAATCAACCTTTAATTAATCTGAAATTGGTGAATGAAAGCCTGTATGCTCACGTGGAGAGGATGAGTCGAATCTGTAGAAGCAGAGAACAGCTGAAACTACTTGGCGATTACCTTATAATGTGTCGCAGTGGGGCCCTGAAGGAGCTTAGCAAACGGTGAGGCCCCTCTAAGAATTCCCAGGCATCCTAACCTTACGGCAAGGCAGTGATCAATCCTGAACCCCAAATTGCCTTCCTCCCAACCTTTGCTTGATTCATCTCTCCTCCCTCTCTTCTGTCCTTTCCCCAAACTGAGAGAGGCCGCACCTTCAGTGCAAATCTTCTGATTGATCTGCAAAAGACATGAGGTGCTAGATAGTCCAAAGCACCAAGTGATCCAGCCCTGGGTCCAAGGAGAGGGTCTGTCTAGTTCTGGAGCTCAGTAATTCTCTGGAGGAGACTGAATTAAATGAACTCATGGGAGCTAGAAACTGCTGGGTTTTAATCCTGACTCTATCACCTGCCTGACTGTGTGATTTGAGCAAGTAACTCATCCTCTCCCTTACTCCCTTATAAAATGGAGATGATATTTACCCACATCATGGGAGTTCGGGAAGATTTGCTAATGCCTTTATAGTCCTTGGAAAGCATGAATTGCCGGATAAGTGCTAGCCATTGTCCTGCTAGCCACATTCTGCCTTCCAGCCAGGCCCATTTCATCAAAACAGTGGGTCAGAAATCACCTCCCTTCTTGAACTGAATAAGACAGAAAGCTGCGGGTCCATACATACCTTTAACACCTTGGCTTACCCTGTGCTCCTGCCTTCATTAGATAGGGTCCTGTGCATTGTTCTCTGCCAGCTTTTGTTTTTTTAGTACCCACCCTGTGGCTGTCCTGGAGATGGGTCCTGCTGTTGCAGGTGCTACCGGGGCCTGCCATATAGGGCGTGTGTGATATTCAGACTCAGCCCCCATCCAAAGCTCTGGGCACCCTTGAGCATACATTTAAAAAATTCCTGAATCAAATCTGCAATCAACCTTTACTCAGTCTGAAATGGGTGAACAAAAGCCTGTATGCTCACATGGAGAGGATGAGTCGAATCTGTAGAATCAGAGAACAACTGAAACTACTTGGCAGGAGATGCAAAGTAAAAATGAAACAGAGCAGCACCTTCTCTCCCCTCCCCTCCACACACCCCATCTGTTCCCCAGTCCTGTGACCAATGCAGCTTAGAATCCCTCTGTGCACTTCCCCACTAGACAGCAGGCCCACCCTTGGTGTTTGTCACCTCTGGCAATCTGATCACATCTCATCAGAGTTGGCATTTTCCTTAAAGCCCCGGCTCTTGGAATCCTGTGATTACATGAATATCTCAGCTTTAGTGTTTAAAGTTTCTAGCCCACCTGGCGAAGAAAAAGCTGGAAAACATGACCGTGAAACACTCAAGCTAGAAGACAAATTAAAAAGATCCCAAATTATTTTTTTTAAATCTTCTGATTTTTAAACCAAGCTGATGATTTTAAGCAGCCTGAACCATGACTTTTGGATGCTTGTGACTGGCAACACTCCCTCAGCATCCTCAAGCCTTTGCCAGTGCCTGCCCAAAGAGATGGGCTTTCCAGTGATCCCAAAGGACAATAAATGGGAGCCATGCTGACCCACTGGGAGCAGACCACTCCAGAGGAAAGGGACCCTCACTGAGTGCTCTGCCAATAGCCCTCCTCACAGTTCTACCGAGGCCTCTCCTGATCACAGCTATGGCAGGTTGGGAGGGCCCAGGCCGTTGGATTTCAGAGAATGGTCATTTCTCACTGGTTAACTGGGTTTCTCCAACTCCCACTAACCCAGAAATCCCCCTGGTTTGTGCTGGGGTCCTTGGGACTGTTTTCCTCTGACTTCTCCTTTGGAATTTAATGGGAAGTTCTTGTAGCTTTTGTTCTTGTGACTCAGCAAGTTTTGAGCAGAGCTCTCTGAGCCAGCTTGCTCTGTGGTAGAGTGGTGCTGGAAGGGCTTTGTGGTTTTCCCTGTTTCCATCTGCTGTTAGGAGTTGTTCTACATCAGTTCTGGGCCCGCGTGTTAAGAGATGGAGGGAAAGAAATCATAAGAAAATACCATCCTGAATCAAGGCAATCTCCTAGCTTGAGAGGAAACAGCTGGGTAAAATTATATAATAAATATACTCTCTGACCATCTCTCAGACCATTTTTAATGTAGAGATAATGGGAACAAAATCTGTAATCAATAATAGTGAAGTCAGATTTGCAGTATTTTTCTTCAGAGTTTACGTCACCTGTTTCGTGTCCACCTCAAAGTCTGTTACAGCCCTGGTGAAATGTGTCTGACGTTTTTTGTTTTGTGTTTGTTTGAAGACTTGATCATCGGGACTATCTATTGGAATCGCCCCATAAATACAGTGTAACTGATCTGAGACAGGTAAGAGCTTTGACTGCTTTTTTTACTGTGTCACTGATGAAAATGTTTTGGTTTCTTTGCATGGAAAGGAAGCTGAAACTGACACTTTTTGCTACTTATAAAGGATCAAATACCTCACTTGGTACCTTTAATTCCTTTGCTCAGAGTATCTCTCTCACTGTGTGAATCTGTGTCTGTATATAGGGTACAGGCATATGGTGTTCAGTTCTCTGTATAATATGTAAGGCAACAATTTAGTCGTGCCAATTTTTAGTAAAAGTCATGGACAAGTCACAGGCAATTTTGTACTATATAAATACCCCTGACTACACCTTAGGTGTTCTGTGGGGTGCCGCTGCTGCTGGGGGGTGGGGCTGCAGCTCGGGGCCCCGCTACTGCTGCTCCGGGGCCGGCCGCCCAAGCAGTGGCCGGTGTGGCTGGCCACCTCAGCTGCTCAGATGGCCCTGGGGTCAGCCACACTGGCTGCTGCAGAAGTCAGGGAGGTCCTGGAAAGTCACAGAATCGGTGACTTCCATGACAGGCTCAGCATTATTAATATGCACCTAACCTGAGCTCTAGTTGCATGTAATATATATTGATCCAGGGTTAACATATAAATTACACAGTCACAGGGCATTCACCCACGGAAGCTTATGCTCCAATACGTCTGTTAGTCTATAAGGTGCCCCAGGACTCTCTGTTGCTTTTACAGATCCAGACTAACACGGCTACCCCTCTGATACCGTCACAGGGTTCACTCACTGCTTGCGATGCCTCCTGCTGGCCATCCTGGGGATTAGCTCCATGCACGCTCCCTCCGCTGGTGTATTCCCCTGGTTTGTCTTGTCTCATCCTGCTACCCAACTCACTGCTGGACCTGCAGCTTCCTCTTCATGGCTTGGCCCTCTAGCCTGGACACCAAAATCCTCCCCTTCCAAGGAATCCAGAGGCCTTCCAGACCCTTCTGTCAGGGTGGCGTCTCCAATGCCTGTGCCACTATCCAGTGGCTGGTAGGGGAACCCAGGCCCGCCCTCTACACAGGTTCCAGCCTAGGGACCCTAGAACAAGGAGCCATGGGCTATATTGCCTTAGTCCTCACTGCTGTTTCCCTGGGCTTCTTCCTACTCTACTGGCTTTCCCCCCTCTAAATTTAGCAGGTTCAGAGAGTGACTGCAGCCTGCCTTCCTGCAGCCAGCTACATGGCTATATGCTGGCTCTGCCTGTTCTGCACAGCTGAGCCTACTCCTAATTAGTGGCCAACTCCCTGGTTCCTCCTCCAGGTGCACCCAGGGGAGTTAATTGGCCTGCCTAGCCACCTTAACTTCTTCCAAGCCATTGTGGGCAGACACCCCACCACATACACCCAACCTCAATCCAAACCCTGCACTTCTCCCACCCCTCCCGTACAAAGAAAGGATGGATAGGCTTCAGAGCGTGCCCAGACGGGCAACAGACACTGGGTCTGTCAGCCCAAAGAGTGAGGAGAAAGTTCCAGAGTTTGGGACCCTCTGTTTGGAATGCCCTGGCTGCAGCCCCGACTTGACCAGATCTGGGGAGTTCATGGGCAAAACGCAAGGAGGGATGGGGTGTCTCTAAGGTGCACAGGACTCAAACCATAACACGTTTCTTCCACCCAACTGCACTCAGTGATGGTAGGTGTCTGGGTGAATATGAGAGGCCCTGCTACAGTCTCTGGGGCTAAGTCACCAGCCGGATTTTCTCATGTCAAAACTGGCCCTTTGCTGTGCCCTGCATCCCAACAGATGCTGGGAGTCAACCTCCATTATTCCTATGGTCAAATCTTGGGATTGTAGCAAGCACCTAGATGATGATGCGTGCCATGGGACAGACTGCGAGAGAGGGAGTCTGCTTGGTAGCCAGGAACCAAACTAGATAAATCTGTATCGTTCTGCGTCAGCAGCTGGAATCGCATCCAGAGCCAGTACAGCCTTTGGGGTAGTGATGCCTGTGACTCTCACAGCTACATCTTGCACTAAAAGACTAGCTCCTCGGCGAGCACAGCCGGGATCGCCCACATCCAAAGCCTTATCCCAGCAAGGTGCTAGCGGTGCAGTTCAGCCAGCACACAGCTCTGCAGCAGTTAAATCCCACTTCTGCCTCGACTCACAGCTGAAGTGGGACGTAGCTGGCATATAGTCCCTCTGCCCAGGAGTGCATTTCTCACGGGGAGAGTAAAGACATTGCACCTTCAGAGTGTTTTGGAACCCACATATCAGTTGTATGCAGCCCGCATCCCAATCTCCCCCAGCAGCCTCACATATGCATGGAACAGGAGAGGTGATAGAACGGATCTCTGCACATCCGCAGACCGAGCAGTCTTGGGAAAAGGAGAGACGCACACCAGAGAAAACTCAGGCTATGGCTACACTATGGACCTTACAGCGGCATACCTGTACTGCTACAGCTGTGCCACTGTGAGATCTCCCATGTAGCCACTTCGCCAGCAGGAGAGAACTCTCCTGCCGGCATAATTAAACCACGCCCAACAAGCAACGTTAGCTGTATCGGCAGGAGAGCCTCTCCTGCCGACACAGTGCTGTCCACACCAGCACTTTTGTCAGTGAAACTTATGTCCGTTAGGGGGTTGTTTTCACACCCCCGGCCAACACCAGTTTTGTGGACAAAAGTGCTAGTGTAGCTAAAGCCTTAGTTTGACTCTGCTCCTAGCTGAATTTGCAGGCCTGGCAGTTAGTAAAACACCTTTTCACTTGCAAATTGAGCAGAAGTGCTCTGGAGTCCCCCAGACCTGGTATGGCTGGAAGCAGTCACAGTATTAGTCTCTTTCTGAGTACGGCCATATTTTCAAACAGCATTAACCACCAGTGTGTGTGAAGCAGTAGCTCGAGGTTGCACAACGAAGCTACACAGCAAGAACCCACACAGACAAACTTCCCCAATGTTATTTTAAGTTTTCTCTGTTCTGCAGATAGCTGATGGCATATTTGAAGTGTACCTGCAATCTCTGATCCAGTTTGCTTCCCATCATGTCTATAACTGTGACCTCTGTACCCAGCGGGGCTTTATCTGTCAGATTTGTAACCACAGCAGCATCATTTTCCCCTTTGAGTTCGACACAACCACCCGGTGAGTGAAGCTTTCCATTGTAACTTCCTGTCATGGGACGTTTAGCGTGGAAGGCCCAGGAAACTCCTGACTGGCTTTGTCAACTCTTCCTCCTACAAGGGAAGGCTGTTCGGAGATTTGATGGGAAGCAGGTTTTGATGTAGCCTGTCTGTCTGTCTTAGGTACTTTTCTGATCCCCAGAACTGTAGTATTCAAGTGCTTCATAATCTTTAATGCATGTACCCTCACGTACCCCTGGGAGGGAGGGCAGGGCTATTATCTCTGTTTTACAGGTGGGGGACTGAGATTGAGCCCTGGGCTATGCTACAAAAATTAAATCAACAGAGCTACCTCACTCAGGGGTGTGAAAAATCCACACCCCAGCGGCATAGTTAAACCGACCTAATCCCAGGTGTAGACAGTGTTAGGCCGACGGAAGAATTCTTTCATTGATTTAGCTACTGCCACTCGGGGACGTGGAGTAACTACGCCGGTGGGAGTATCCTTCCTGTCGGCACAGGTCATGTTTACACTGCAGCACGGCCCCTGTTCCCTTTCAAGTGTAGACAAACCCAAAGGGACTCACCCAAGGTCATACAGGGAGGCTGTGAAGGAGCAGAGACTTGAACCCAGATCGCCTAAGTCCTAGGCTAGTGCCCAAAGTACTGGGCCATCCTGTCCTCTCCTGGGTGTGTTGGGTAAGAAGATGGTGACTAGACAGCTGCCTGTTGCCTGTGCTGAGAACACAGGCCTAGTATTGGGCTCCTGAGGCCACACCTAGGCTCCTAAACAAGTGGCCTGGCTCTCGAAAGTGCTGAGCCACCCAGCAGCTCCTATTGGGTCCAGAGGGAATTTGACTCCAACAGGAGTCCTTCAGAAAAAGGCAGTGCAGCCCTAGGGAAGCTAATAGAAGTGGTGGGAGGGGAAATCAGGATGGTTGAGAGAGAATTTCCAGAGCGAGTAGGAAAAGAAATGTGCTAACTCTGTCAGCAGCATTGAAACCTGCAAGAGACTCCGTGAACAGAGCTCCAGGGTGCACAGGAGTCAGTGCCCTAAATTCCCAGACATGGCGTTCAATCCTGCAAAGTGCCCTGCAGAGCTCTGGCCCTGATCCACTTAAGCACATGCTTAATTTTAAGCATGAGTTATTCCATTGATGCACTTTTGAAGGTTATAAATGGGCTCAAAAATAATACTGCAAAGATTGGAATGTCTTTTTATAAATTGGTGGGACGCCCTCGCCAGGGACACCGTGTTCAGTTCCGATCACCCTGTTAGAACCAGCGATAGCAGGAACAGGAGCTCAGAGGCAGGGGAGTCGAGGTCCCGAGAGATTTCCAAATGGTGAGCTTGAAAAGACTGGTGGTCTAGTAAATGGACAAAGAAAATAGTGAGTGGTCTGAAATGCTTCCCTGTAAAGAGAGAGCGAAACTGTTGAGAGCTGAGATGACTAAGGGGACAAAATCCTGACTGGAGCCGAGACGGAGACCGCACACTCCTGTTTACCCTTTCCTACAACACAGGAATAAGGGACAGTCAGTGAAAACGAAAGGTAAAAAATTTAAGATGGTTAAAAGGAAGCATTTGTTTACACTATGCAAAATTAACCTGTGGTACTCAGTGCCACTGGATGTCATCAAGGCCCAACACCTGCGCAGGTTTCGGAAAAGGATACACTTACATTAACAGCGCGTGTCTGCAGCTCTGTTAGCTAGCATTTCATGTGTTTTAAAGTATACGTACCCTCCTTTGAGGCCTGATCTAACTGCCCAGGACCAGGGGGAGAGGTTTTCCCCCATGGGCAGGTTATTCTGTAATTGACCAGTGCAGGATTTCTTGTGCCTTCCTCCTAAGCAGCTGTGGCAGCATTTGGAGATGGGACACTAGCCTGGCCATTGATACGCTCTGGCAATGCCTGTATTACTATACTGACCCTCGTAGCCAGTCCGGAAGTTCTGCAAGAGATTTGTGGGACCATGTGGGCCAGCTCATCAGGACTAAGGAGTGTTTCCAGTCTGGATGTGCCTAGCAGAATGGCTTGTGATTTCTGCCCCCTCAGCCTAGGGCCGGGACTGCTCCACATTCAGTGTCTAACATGAGAGCCCCAGCTGACTTTTTTCCCCATATCTTCTGACTAAGCCAGACCCAGAACCAGAACATGTTGGTCCCAGGCGTCCAAGAGGAGATGCGCCACCCAGCTAGCCCTGGGGTCAGAGTGGCACATCCTGTTGACTGATCTGGGGCTGTTAACCTCATCCCAGTGAAGCAGGCTGCTGTTGCTCTTTGCCATGTGGAACAGCTGGCTGAGGGGATCATGTTATATGTGACTCACAGCAGGATATGTCTGAAATGCCTCCTAACAATGTGTGAACAACATTGTCATTTTCACATGAGCGGCAGACGTTTCCTGAAGCCGTTCTCCTGGCAGGTGGAGGGTGCAGTCATTTCCTTTTGGCAACAACTCACTGGGTATTTCTACACGGCAGTTAAACACCCCCGGCTGGCCCACGCCAGCTGACTTGGGCTCGTGGGGCTCAGGCTGTAGGGCTGTACGATTGCTGGGTGGATGTTCGGGCTCGGTCTGGAGCCCAGGCTCTGCGACCCCATGAGTGGGGGAGGGTTGAAAAGTGGCACATTGGCCACGCCAACAGTGTAAGTCTGTGCTGCAGGCAATGGGCTGTGGAGCTACAAAACTGCCCAGCCCTCTTGCAGCTTCTCAGCAGGTGCCTGCTGGATCGGGGAGCTTTCATCCTTTCGTAATGGGACTCCACAATCCACTGGATTATACTTAAAGGTCCAGTTCTTGTGAGTTACACAGGTGTGAATCCACAGAAGCCAGTGGAATTACTCTGGATGTACACCAGCATGACCCAGAGCAGGATTTTGCCCTAGCTCTTTCAGACAAGAGCAGTGCTGTATGTTTTTGTGGCTTCCCCACTTTAACATCAATGCAAACGCTGTTTTTCTCCACTTCCTTTGGATTTTCCCTCTGCTCTCAACACCTGGGTCGCCCGTTGTTTCTTTGGTGTGTGGAACTTGTCTGCTGTATACAGAGCAGCCCCAGATTTACAGCATCAAAGTGCTCGTCTCAAGTGTGATATCTGTTGTGTGTGAGACATTTGCATTTCACCATAATTGGTGTCATTTAAATCTAGCTTGGGTTGCCTGAGTTTGCCCTTTCAGCAAGCAAGATTTGGACATGTAAGTGGATTAGATAGGGGGGACAAAGCTAAAACAAGAAATATAGTACTTCTTGTATCACTGGCAGTCCCTGAACTTTCCCTCACTCTGCCCAAAATAACCAGTTAACCGGACTTTACTACAGAGCCTGTTTTGAATAGCTTGATGCAATGTGTAATTAGCTGCTCTTTACATTCCATGTTCATTGCAGGCTCTGCCTCAGAACAGGGATGCCTCCCAGGAAATTCATGCCTATGCAGTGAGCCGTCCATGATCACCGCCTAGCTAATCTGGCTTCCGCCATCCCCGTAGCTTAGCAAAATCAAAACCTAGTTGGTGTTTTCTGCTCAGTCACAGAAATCAGAAGGCTTTTCCTTCCCAAGGCGTCCCCTTCTGCCCATCTCAAGGGTGCCTGCAGACACTTCTAGTGTCTCCTCTCAAGCAATGTCTGCCTCTAGCTGTCTGGCAGCACTTCCTGCTCTGTCCGATATGAGCACAGTCTGGTCCCAAAATGGGGCAGGGAGGATGTTGGGGGAGGTCATGGCTGGGCCCTTGACGCAGGGAAGAGAGGCAGTGTCTTCATTGTTACAGTCGTTCTGAAATTGCTGTTTGCCCTTTGTCTGTGCTGACTTGCATTTAAAAATGAACCTTTCCTCATCGCACAGCAACATCATTAGCTAGTTAAAATCACTCAGCACGTCCCCCGCCCCCAGATTTTAGCAATTCAACCTTCAATATTTTCATTTTCTTTTCCACTTCTTACGAGCTTTTTTCTGCTCTGACATTTATGTGCATGCAAAACCCTCTTCTTTCGTAGTGTTTCCCTCATGTGCTTTTATGTGGAAACAGTAAATAACATTCCAACACCGAACTGACATGGAGGCACGAGGCTCTCCTCCGGTTTTCCAACTGTATTTAGTGGTTGATGGAGGTAAATTATCTCCATTTCTTTGATTGATTTTTGCTGCTGGCTGGCGGAGTTAGTTTATTTGTTTGTTAATATTTATGCTGCTGGCTGGTGATTGATAAGTCTAATTATTGTCAGAGCTTTTGTATGGATGGGGTGGGAGTTATGTTGAATCTGAAGAAATAGAAATAAACTCTCAAGTTACATTCTCGCGATGTGGGGAATCTATATTCTCCGCCCTAGGCCCAGTGATCCATGTGTTGCTGAAGAGATGATTTTGCTTTTGCTTTTCTTGTAGATGCAGAGATTGCAAAACTGTCTTCCACAAGTGCTGCCAAGACAGCATGAAATCTTGCCCCCGCTGCGAACGCCGGCAGAAATACCAGCAACAATTGCAAGCGGACGTCCTCGTGAAACCAAATATGTAGTGAGCAGCTTCTTACAGATGGACTCTACACAGGGCTTTGCTCATCTGCAAACTCGTGACCTGGACACTGTGCAGAGGAAGGGAAAAGGGAGTGTATGCCAAGTGCCATTCAGTCCTAGAAAATACATTCCTACCACTGGTTGGAGCAGCTCCTGTGTGCAGATGTTCACCAAGGTAGGAGTAGCCTAAACCATACAGTGCTGTGAGGATGCCGAGGACAGGTGCAGCTCCTCATGTACAAGCAGAGGCTACTGCTCGTGAGTGCTGAAAAGAGAGCCAGTGAAGTAAAAGCCTGCTGGAAAAGCTCAGTGACTCGCCAAGTAATGGTGCTTTATTCAAACTAATCTGGTGCTGCTTACTTTTTGCTGAATGTCCCTCCCTGTGAAAGAAGTGTGCTCCATTCACTGAGCTCTACGGGTCCCATCTTAGAGGAGATCCTACTTGGGATGGAAATCTGATCGATTTCCTGTGTGTAAACCACAAGGTTTGCAGTGGAGTGCCTGTAATGGAAGTATGTTAAAGGTCTAGTTTTTTAGGATATTCGCAATACTGAAAGCCAGAATTTTTCATACATGACTTTGCACAGGAACTGCATCTCGCCTGCTTGGGAAATAAACATAGCAGCTACCTGCCGCCAAACTGCAGGGGAACTTTTCAAGAAAAACAAAAACAAAACCTGAAGCTGACATGAAGCTCTTGTGCCTTTAGCACTTTGTCCACAGCAGCTGCCTGGTCCTGCTGTTTTCGTGCCGTGTGCCAAATGGCTGGGGTATCCTGATGTTCAGACGTCCCCCTGTGAGAGGAAAGACCATTCTTCTCTTCTGCAGAGAAACTGCTGGCTCTTCCGCATCTAGCATCCACCAAGGAAAGAGGCCTTTTAAATAGCAAAACAAAAAATCCCGATCCTCCTGGGCTGCTACTTTTTATTTCTTGGCCAATAACGAGGCTGCTACTAGATTTTATTTTCCTTTCACTCTGATATGGGGATTATTAAAGTTTATCTAACAGGGAATATGTCCTTTGTGGAGGTTGCGCCTCTTGCTGGTGGATTATGGAAAAAGCTTTAGACTGGCCTGGAATCCAGTTTCTACATTCTCAGTGGAAACACCTGCACAGTGAAGAAATAAATTGGCCTACAGCATGGTATTATGTTACCCAGGGTAGAGCCTTACCTTTGTTTTAATTACAAAAGAGGCCACACTTTTAGTAAGGGCTTCCTTGGTGTTTAACTGACTTTGTCGAGACAGGCAAGTGGAAATGAAATTGTGTGTTGGATTTTGCTCCAGAAGAGCTTTGCATTTGTCACCCGTTTTTCCCTTAATGGCTGAGCAGTGATCCTGAATCCAGCTTGTCTCTTTCCCACCCCCCTACTCCCCTTTGCATCCAATACTTTAAGTGCAGCTGGTCAAAGGGGGTGCAGACCTGGAAACACGTTTTACAACTCTCACTGGGTTTCTTACAGCCCTGCTGGGAGAGGGAGAGGGGAGGCTCTGACTGATTGGCTGCTTTTCCCACTGCCCTGCCTCCTGCGGTAGAGCAGCCAATCAGAACTGCTGCAGGAAGCAGACAGCGCTCCCTCCCCCTCTTCTCTCAAGAACTGAAGCCATTCTCACATGAAGGGAGGGGGAGAGTGATGAGCCCAGCAGCTCAGGGCAGCTCTGCTCCCCCCTCCCATCCAGTGAGCAGCAGGATGGCTCCTAGCCCCACCCCCTGAAACACCAGGCCTGGGAATGGGGAGAGGAAGCAGATGTGACATCGCTGTCACTCAGAGAGCAGCCCCCACTCAGATTTGCTCTCGCTGAGCTGCTGGGCTTTCCTCCTCAGCTCCTCCCCCTGTTCCCTATCTCCACGGACACTCCACTCTCCAGCTGCCCTGTCTCGATCCGCCTCCGACTCAGCTCCCTCCTGCTCTGGCCTCTTGCTAAATCGTGGAGTTGCTTCTCCAAGAGCTGCCTTTGGCCCCTGCCGAACCCCCTGACATCTGTCAGCTGGGTCACTGTAACCTTCTCCGTCTTGTGCCGCTGCCTCCCCATGTGCCCAAACCCCGCTGCTCACACCACGTCGTTCCCCCCCGGGCTGCCTGTCTACTAGGACATCATTTTCAAGCCCCTTGTCCTCAGCTGCAAGGCTCCTGCATGATCCCACTGTCCATATCTCTGCTGCCATTTCTCCCTCTCACTTCCTCCCCATTCTTGTCTTACAGCTCCCTTTGTCTCCTTCCCCCGTAGTGTTGTGCCCTATGTCCCACTGCTCTCTGCCTCGTCCCTGAAGCATCCTTGATCTCCTCCTTGAGTCCCTCTGAATTGGAAACTCCCACAGCCCTCCATTTCCATGCCTTGCCATGGGCTTGTCTGTCTCTTTTAACTCAGACTGAACCCTCTGGGGCAGGGGCCTGGGCTTATCTCTGCGTGTGAATTGACTGCACTGTGCACACACGTGTTTTATAACAGCTCTCATGTCTGCTGTACCTTGCAGTCCGTGCTTCTTGCACTCTTGAGAGTTGTTCATTCTATGGGCAGAGTCCCCAGTGGGACCAGGCTGCCCAGCAGCACACCCTAAACTCCACAGCAATGTCAGTGCCACAAACTAGCCCTAATCCTATACCTCACCCTCACCCCAGCACAGCTGGTGATACTAAGTTCATGGTTGATGGAGGAGGTTGTGTCCGTTTGAACCGACAAGAATCTCCACCCAACTGAGAGATCTGTGAAGTGCTTGTGAAAACCCCATTGCACACCAGCTTGGTACATGTGCAGAGCCCTGGCTTCCTGTTGTTCTCCCAGGGATTTCATTGCTGCCCGGAGCCTTCCATGTGACTTGTCACTCACTAGGATTCAGTGGGGGGTTCCCACTGAAAACTGGAGCTGTAGAATCCCAAACTAGCATCTGTCGCACAGACATCTGCGCCTGTCCCATGGTAATGTCATGGAGCTGCACCCAGCACATTCCTCTGCCAGTGGGAGCTTCCCAGCCAGTGAGGTTTCATACATGCTGGTAAAATTAGTTGTCCTGAATGCCAGCCCTTTCTGCCCAGCCCTTGCTGTGACAGCATCATTTTCAGGGGCTGCAGCCATGCCATGTGAGCTGTGAGCCAGCTGAGCAGGTAGGAGGGGCTCAGTGTGGCAGGAAGGGGTCTGTGGTTATTCAGCAGGCAGAACTGTTCCTTCTGCTCCGTGGTGCAGCATGGCATGTGGGCAGTATGGGCCACCTTTGGGGCGAGACGGGAAATGGAGCACTCCGTTACCTGCATTCATTAAGGGTCCCATGACACTGTCTGTAAGAATTGACTCGTTAACCATCTTACCTGGGCAAAATGCCAGCAAAGGTCGTTGTATTCTGCCTAGCAATGTGTCTGGGTGCTTTGGGTTAGATTTAGCATCCTCTGGCACTGTCTGTCCTGAGCCCTGCTGGGTAATGGTGTCCCTCTGTTAGGCAGACAGGATTGTTCCCTATGGTACCTTACCTGGGGGCTCCTCCCATGTGATTGTTACCATTTAAAAACTAGTGAATTCTCAAGGGGAGGGCAGCTGGGGCCTGGCTTATTTCCTGGGTTGGGGGGGAAGCCAGCAGGGGGCACTGTGCCATGAGAATGGCAGGGCTGGATGGCTGGTAGGAGGCCTGGCAGATGGGTTGGAGATGCCCCCTTTCCACCAGGTGCCGGACCTCACCCTCCCCATTTCCGGGCTAAAAAGCAGCAAGGGACGGGTGCCCAGCAGCAGAGTTTCTAGCAAGGAGCCAGGCGCCTGTGTGCAGACAGGCCGCCCAGCAAGCAGAAATGGGCATGGGGCATGAGGCTCTCTCCGTAACGCCTCACTGGAGGTGGGTGGTGGCGGCATGGGGCTTGCCGATCAGATGGGCGGGTTCGAATGCTCTCAGTTCGGGTGTGGTCATCACTGTGTATTTGAGTTACTCAGAGGAATGCACAGGGCTGTATATTGGCTGGGCATTTTATTAAAGCTCCTGTGAATCTAAATAATAAATCAGACCTGCAGGGGAGCCAGGCAGGGGGTAGAGGCAAGACAGAGCTCCTCCTTATTACCTCAGTGCACCCAGTTCAGTGTCGCAGGTGCTGGAGCCACTCCTCAATGGAGGTTATTTGTCACCCTAAGAGCTTTCACTGCCGGGGCATTTCCAAATATTCAGCCTAATTACATCATGTTATTCCTCTTACGAGCCCTTGTTCCACCCTGAGCAGCGCAAGTCTCCTGGGCGTTTATACCTTCGGTACTGGAGACTGCAGCAGGGCCGACTCCAGGCACCAGCCGACCAAACACGTGCTTGGGGCGACACCTTGTAAGGGGCGGCCAATCTTCAGGTGCCGGGCCGCGCTCGGGGTTTTTTTTTTTGGTTCGGCGGGGCGGCACTTGGGAAGGGGGTTGTTTCGGCGGTGTGGCGCTCAGGGGAGGAGGTTGTTTCGGCGGGGCGGGGCGGCGCTCGGGGGGGGAGGTTGTTTCGGCGGGGCGAAAAGTTAGAGCCGGCCCTGTTCCTTGCTCACCCAAGTTGTGTGTGTGGAGCTCTTGTAGTTACTCATCCCCCTGGTCCTTGTCATGACGCTTTGCAGAGCGCCCTTCAGCTTGTCGAGATCTGGCTTAGCTGGTTTGCACAGCTCCGTGATGGGGCTGCTAGTCCGTACCCTCAAGGGAAGCCCTTGAGACATGGGACAGGTGGTGCAAGCAGTAGGCTCCATGCAGACAGATGCTGTGCAGAACTATGAGGCTATTGAGAAAGGGGATCTACAGGCCTAGGGGGCTGAGCCACGACGTGTTCCATGATGAGCTAGCCCTGACCTCTCCCTTGGGGGAGCCTGCCCTACTCCCAGGACCTTTTAGGGTTTGCAGCTAATGTGGGTGATTTCCCCACTCATGTTACCTGCTGAGACACGAAGTGCTAAATGTCTGGTACCATTGTTCCAGCCATTACTGCAGCAGAGCCCTGTCCTGTGAAATGTTCACAAGCAGAAGCTGTAGAAAGTGTCCCTTTCTGGAACCATGCTGCATTGGCTGGTGGGGGTTCATATTTAATGGCTCTCTTCCATCTCGAACTGCTGCAGCTACTTGGGCATTCCCCGAGAGCCAGTGGGAAGCCCATAGGGATCAGATGCATTCCAGGATGGTTAGATGCTTAGTCACAACGCACTGGAGTTTTCCGTTACTTTCCCTTCTGGGCCATGAGCTGTGGCCTAGTTCTTATAGGAACTGTTGTAACCTCTGGGCTTCTCAACATTCTGCCGCATGGGACGTCTCTCTTCAGAGCCCCAAGCCCTCATCAGCTGTAGCTCAGCAAACTAGAGCTTCCTCTTTCATTTTTCAAGTGTGATCCTGCTGCTTCCCATCTGTAAATAGCAGGCCGGCTTCCAGCTGCAGCGAGCAGGTTTTCCTCTCCTACCACCACTTCCCTGTACCTGTGATGAGATCCAAATTCTCTTCTGACCCATGATGCACAGAACAGAGGAGACTAGCATGACCGTCCTGTGGGTGCACCTGGCTCTGACCAGACTGTAGAGTGACTCCATGTTTGCACTTTCTCTTACCAAGCTGTTTTTGACCCTCTGTGATGGGACCCCCAGGGTATAACCTGGAACTATGGGACCACCGTGTCCCCCTTAACTCTCCAGCCTGAGCTGTCTTCACAAAGCTATGCCAGTGACAACAGTAACCCCCTCCAGGTGCTGTGATCACTCAGCCATCAGCGTGGGAAGACCCACACTGAGCTAAATTGCATGAAGGCTCTGCAAGCCACTCACAAATTGTACAGAGAGAGGAACCAGCCAATCACCCCAGCCTTGCACCCCAGAACTATACCATCTTTCACGGCCCAAGACTCCCTTGGACAGCGCAAGCTCATCAATTAGTTTGCCACTACATTAAAGGGTAGTGGATGTGCAGCAGCCCTTGTTCACCGCAGCTGAGATTCTCCAAGCACTTCCACCAAAACCGCACTGTTTTAGATAAAATATAACACAGATTTGTTAACTGCAGAAAGATGGATTTTAAGTGATTCTAAGGAACAGGCGCAGAGACCAAAGTTGGTTACATAGGAAATAAAAGTAAAAATGCAATCTAAATTCTACAGACTAAGGAAGGCTGGGTCTACACTGCGCTCTTTATCGCCGAGAGAGAGCTCTTCCAGTGACACAATAAAACCACCCCAACGAGGGTCTCCCGCCAACAAAGCACTGTCCATACCGGCGCTTTTTGGCATTAAAACTTTCGTCATTCGGTGTGTGTTTTTTTTCACACCCCGAGCAACAAAAGTTTTAACAACAAAATGTGCCAATATAGACCTGGCTTAAGGTTTGAATCGAGCAAGTTCTCACCCTAATAGATGTTACAGGCAGCTTACGGTTCTTAATACACAGGCTGGATTCCCTTTCAGCCTGAGATCAATCTCCCCAGTTCACTCTTTGGCCTTGGCTACACTGGCGCTTACAACACACACCCCCGAGCGCAGCAAGTGCAGCGCTGTACAGCGCCAGTGTAATCAGCGCCTCTAGCACTGCACGCTCGCTCGCCGTGCTGCAAGCTGTTCCCCTCGGAGAGGTGGAGTACATACAGCGCTGCGAGAGAGCTCGCAGCGCTGGCGGCGCGACTACACTCCCCAAGTGTAGCCAAGGCCTTTGTCTTCCAGACGATCTTCCAGGTGTTGAGAAGGGGGAGGAGAGAGGCCAAGTGGTGATGTCCATGTTCACTAATATTTTCTCTCCAGCTAGAAAGATCCTTGCTGTGACATGTTAGGCTGCCCACGTGCTCTTTGAGGAGTCTCTGGGAGAGTGGATTGTTCTTAATGGGCCATCAACGCCTGTCTGGCCAATGTTAGTTGCTCCTTTGTTGCCACTGAAAGGCCAGTTGTGGGTGTCTCCCACCCTTAGCAATACACATCTAGGAAAACTTCCTAACTTCAGATATGACAGTAACACACGTAATCCAACAGAATCATAACACTCAACAGATCATGACTTCTCAAATGGTACCTCACAAGGCATACTTTGTACAAAACACATCATAATCCTATCACAGTGGTGACTCGGGGGGTCCAAGGTGCTATTTGAGGTACAGAGCACCACATCCTCCCCTTGGCACCTATAATAACAGCTCCCTCCTGCCTGCGATGGTCTCCTGCCAGAGGGCTATTTTCTTCTGCAGAGTTTGAGGTTACCGGGATTCTGTTCAGTCAGCTTTAAAAATCACCACAGGAAGTCTCCTGCTCTTTGTGCTCCGGCATATCTCTGAGCTCTGCGCTGGTTGTATTCGCTCAGGGATCAGCGCACAGGGATGTAATGAGAGACTTCACAAATCCAGGTGAGAAAATAAAGGCTGATTTGAGTTGGCTGGACAAGGGAAATAACTTTCCACCAATTTGTTTTTAAAATTTGTTTTTGGAAAAAAAATCTCGCATCGGGACAACTTTCTTGCGGGAAGGAATGCCCTGTCCTTCGTGGCTGCCCTGCTAGAACTCCGCACTCTGCTGCCCTGTGGGGCACGTGGAGCCAGCTGCCAGGGGGAGTAGAGAGTGGGGGGGAGGTTAGCTGTCAGCTTAGAAGTCCTAGGAGCCATAGGCTGGAGGAGGCAACTTGGGGAGCCTGCCCCCACTAATGAACTTGTCAGTGAGTGGGACAGCAGAGCTGGTGTGGAACTGGTGCCCGGCTGGGTGATTCTGCGCGTGCACCCTCGTCCCTGAAGGGTGACCAGATGTCCCGATTTTATAGGGACAGTCCCGATTTTTGGGTCTTTTTCTTATATAGGCTCCTATTACCCTCCACTCCCGTCCTGATTTTTCACATTTGCTGTCTGGTCACCCTAGGTCCCTGCTGGCTCAGGACCCCCTTGTTCAAATGGCTTCGTGTTCCTCCTCGCCCAGGGGTTGGGTCCTCAGTGCACCAGGGCAGCAGCCGTGGGTTGGGGGTGGCCGTAGAGGCCTCGTGGAACAGGGAAGGGATGGTTCCTGGTTCCTGGCTCCTCTCTACCTGCACGTGGCTCTGGGGACGCTGCCCCTGGGTCTCGGGTTAAGTGCTGGGCACCAACACTGGGACGGAGCAATGGAAGGGAATGCTGAGGCTGGAGGGATAGGCCTGCTTGGAGCCTGCTGCTCCGGAGCGAACTCCCACCTCCCTGCTACAGGCTTCCTGCAGCCGGAACCTCTCTTCCCACTGGAATGAAGGTGCTTCCTCTGCTCCTCCCCACGGCTGTTTCTTGGTTCCTCTACTGGCCCGTAAAGGGGCTCAGCTCGGGCAAAGCAAACTTAAACCCTTGTTTTCAAACACCACTGGAAGCAGCCCAGCCTCCCCGTGCAGCGTTTGCAGCCCAGTCCCTGCAGCATCCATCCTGCCTGGTGTGAGAGCTGGCCCGGTTCCTTGTTGCTCACATGGAGCGGAGGGCAAAGGCGGAAAAACAGCATGAACAGTGCAGAGCGAACTGGACTTTCAGGTGGATCTGAGGTCAGCCAGTGCTGGTGTCTGTGGGAACTAGGGGGTGCTGGAGCAGACAGCGAGGGGCCTGCTGGACTGAATTCAGGCAAGCACCTTACTGGGAAGTTGGGGGCTGAACCTTGCTGTCTAAATCAAACAAGACAAATCCAGCCAATGAGGCATTCTGCTGTCCTTCCCTGGCCCTGCCCCCATCCCGTGGGGTGGGGCTTCCTGCACATTACAGCCCCTGATCCTGGAGGTGGGAAGAGAGAAAATGGCACCAACTCCCCCCCTCCCAGTTAAGCCCTGCACAAATCCTGGAGATATGGGACACAACTTGCTCCCCGGGCGAACTCCTTCCCTTCCTGACCTGCTCACCCCAGCCCCTGCCCCAGGAGAAGGGAGAAGCTGCCAGATGCCCACCACATGCCAGGAGGGGAAGCAGGAAGGGAAATTCTGGGAGTGGCTGTCCATTGCTGCAAAGGGCTTTTGTTTTCTCCGAGTTACCAGCGGTAAATGTATTGCACGCAGGAGGATCAGAGCCATTTTCCCTGTAGTCTGGTGCTGTCCTCAGACCTCATTTCTAATGTGGCGTAATCACGTCCAGTTGTGTCGGAAGCTGGAGAAAAACTTGTGCTCCTTAGCAGACAAGGGTCTGATGGGATGCAAAGGAAACCAGCTCTCTTGGGGCTGGCCACTTTCAGTCTCCTAAGGAAGATCCAGCGCTGAGACGGGACAGGCACGCAGTGTGGTTACAGGAAGAATTTTCTTCACTGCTGTCATCTCCCCCGTTCTAACCTACAGATCCTCTTGATGTGAGGAAGTTGGTGAGAATCTCGGTTCTGTGAATTCGCTCTCTGTATTGTTCAACAGGAAACGAGGGAGCGAGCAGAAGGCAAGTTGAGACCAGCTTTAGTCACCAACACGCGCAGTCAGAAACAGGTTCCCTGGGCCGCTCCTGCCGCGGCACGCATAGGGGCCGCGGCAAGCTGCTCTCCAGCAGTCGGCAAAGCTGGCACCAGAGTGCCACGGAAATACAGCAAATGGAAACTGGTGCGACACCACCGTAGTGACCATGCTGGAGAGGCACTAGCAAGATGTGAGCCTGCAGGTAAATGCACCGGGCATTTCTGAGCGGGGCTGAGTGATGAACAGCCGGGTCGCTGGCTGACTCTCGGAAAGTTGTCGTGGTGGGATACTCTTTGCCAGAGCCTTAGTTTCCCTCATGCTGTTGAAAGAGACTGCGAAGTCAGGAAGGGAGTGTAATCTCCAGGGCAGCTGGCGGGGATCAATAGCTGTTGGTGGAATTGAGCCCATAGGGCGGGGTGTGCTTGTCTCAGCTGGAGACCTGGCGATTGGTTTCTCTTTCGCCCTGCAGCTCCCATGAGAGAGTTTGACACACAGGAGCCAAATGAAATCTGAGGGTTTTCCAGGTCAGTGGTCATAAGCCACTGTATAATTACAGAATTGCAGAGTGGCCAATGCTAAACATTTCACCCCGGTTAGCAATCCAGACGGCTTCACGGAGAATAGTCTGACTTTACAGTGGGGCATGCGCTTGAGTCTATTCAGTGTTACCATGTTTGGGTGTATTTAATCTTGGGCTGTACCTGGAGCTGAGACACGCGAGTGAATGGCAGGTGCTGTAGCAAATTGGTTTGGAGGCTGTGCTGCTGGGGGCTCTGGACTTGATCCTAGGATTTTTAAAGGGTTGATGCTTGTGCTCAGCTCCCCAACCATCAGGGCAATTAATGAGAGGCCTCCCTGTTGGGCTGGCCTGGGAGCTTCACATCAGCCACCAGGAGCAGGGTTTCCAAGGCTCCAAGTGTGAGGCTGACATGGCCCCTCCTTGAGGCCTTTCTGAAAATCCCAGACCCATCAGGAGACGTTTCCTGCTTTGGGGAAGGGCTTTTTGAAGGATGTTCTCCCCAGTCCCCTGGGCTCACTGCACTGGGTCCTGCGTGGTGTCAGAGCAGCCAGCAGGCTGGGGGGGGGAGGCACAGGGGGGTGCGGATTTGGAGCCAGCCCCTGCTTCTGCTGAGCTCCAGACAGCACTCCCTCCCAGTGATGGCAGCAGTGCAGGATTGTGTGCTGGAGCTGAGCTTCTGTGGACGGACAAACAGGCTCACTGCCAGGGGAGCAGGGGGATGTTCTCCGGCCTAACTTGTGGTGGAGCTCCAACGAGATGATCTAATGGTCCCTCCTGTCCCACTTCTTGGATCCACATTCAGCGGGGCTCTGTTTGGTCCAAGCAGCCCCGTGCCTGGAGCATGCCGTGGCACCATCTCCTGCGGTAGCTGGTAAAAGGGAGAACGCGGGGGGAGTGGAGTAAAGGCAGCCCATCCTGAAGCGTCACGTCGCGTCTTTTGTGCATGTCTTATTGTTCTCCGCGTTGGAAGGAGACGCTAGCCTGGGCCCTGCTTGCCTGTCTGCCATTCCCGGGCTCCCCAAGGCAGAGAGACAACTAGAGACTAGGTTGCCTTGGAAAACCGTCTCACAGACACTGTGTGTCTAGCACAAACACTGCCAGGCTGGGTCAGACCTGAGGTGCCTCCTGCTCGGTGTCCTGTCTCTGACAGGGGCCAGCACCAGACACTGCAGAGGAAGGTGCAAGAACCCTGTAGTAGCAGATGGGGGGATAATCTGCCCTCTCATCGAATATCAGAGTTGGAAGGGACCTCAGGCGGTATCTAGTCCAATCAGGACCAATCCCCAACTAAATCATCCATGAGTTCTCCTGGGCTCTGATAGTCAGAGATTGCATCTGAGTTTAAACCAGGAGATTTAATACACCTCCCCAAATGTTAGATAGCATTAACTATTCTAACTCTGCATATTCTTGTATGCAATCTCTTTTAATCTTGGTAAGCCTTTGGCCTGAACATCTTCCTGTGGCAGTGAGTTCCACAGTCTAATTACCTGTTGAGCATAAAAGATATTTCCTTTGATAGGGTTTGAATTTTAATGGCATTTATTGTCCTCTTGCTCTCGTTTTTATGAGACAGGGAGAACGGATGCTCCAATCTCCCTTCTCTACCAGTCATTATGTACAGACTTTTATCATGTCCCCTCTTATTTGTCTCCTTTCTAACAACCCTAATTGTTTCAGTCTCTCTGCACAGGGAGTTTTCCCAGGTACTTGATCATTCTCTGAGCCCCTCCAGGTCTGCAATACCCCTTGTGAGATGGGCTGACCTGTACAGCTCACAGCGTCCAGGCTCCCCAGTGAGCCATATCAAGCCATTAGGCTATTCCTTGTGTTATTCTCCATCCCACGGCTGATTCGGCTGCACATCTGGCTGGTTTTCCTGGCAGCAGTCGAGAAGAACACGTAGCTTTATTGTGACGTGGCTCCTGCAGGGGGATGAAATGCTGTTTTCCTGTCATTATATTATTGCCGCAACACTCAGAGACCTCGGTCAGGATCCGGGCCCCACTGTGCTTGGTGCTGGCCGAACGTGGCAGAAGGCTGGACTCTTTTCTGATCCACATTCAAAGAACTAATTATTGTGTCAGCTCCACAGCTCTCGCCGCCAGTTTGATTCATTGCCTGATTTACACTGCTGCCGCCTCTCCCTCTCCTCCCTAGCGATGCCAGAGGCGCAGGCCGACAGTTCTGCAGCATACCGGGACCTTCTCA